TTAAATATTCAACTTTTAAAAGCTGATGATTATTTAGAAATACATTTAAAATCACAGCATAGGCTAAATCAATGCATTAACAAGCCTGAGTTTGTCTCTATGCTACCAGTTTAGAATGTCTGCCTTGGAGGATAAAGAAATGTTCTGTGAAGAGTCACATAATTTGGATTTTTATTGTTTGATATATAGAATTGAGAGATATAATGATTAAAGAAAATAACATCCCAGGCAAGGCAACACTGTGAGTTAAAGTAGGCAAATAGATATGTAATGAAAATAAATGAGAAATGAGGAAGAACTTATTTTGGAACAGGTGTAGAGTCTATGATGGGGAAGAGCAGGACATATGATAATATGAGCATTTAGGAAAGAAGGCGAGGATGACTAGTGGCCCACATAAATTCATTACAAGTGAGTCATGCCAAACTTCCTTCATTGTACTTCACAAGAATGAGAAGCTTGGTACCATACCATAAGATATATGAATATTGATTTCAGTAGACTAACCTTGGAAACAAGGTGGTGAAATATCTTTGAGTTTGCTTTGTTCAGCACTTCTGCAGTGACGTAGATGATAACCAAGAAGCCATACTTATTAAATTTTCAGTTGATATAAAGGTGGAAATTATCGCTAATGTGAAGTCATAGTCAAGCCTAAGCAATCTTGAGGGACTGAATGCAAAGTTTAGTCAAAAAACTAAAAGTGTTTATAATCAAAGACTGTCAGTGAAATCGGCATATGATGTATGAAAATAACCCAGAAACCTACTCTTGTTAAGAATACTAAAACTCAGAAAGGTTAATTAACATCTCCCATATCATAGAGATTTGGCAGAAGTAGAATGCACATCCCATGTCTATCTGGACTCAAAGTCTGTGTTTATTCTAATCTATCACAGAGCCACAATGTGTATTTCTCAGTAGAACTTTAGGTCATTTTTAAATATTGACTGGAAGATTAGGGTAAATGTTTTTCAAGATGACAAAGAGTCTATGTTTTGTTTTATTCTGACAGAACATTGATAATAATTGAATCTAATCCATCAAGTAGAATAGGTCAAATTTTATATAAGCTAAGATTTGCAAGTGTCAAAAATTAAAATGTTTATGTTTAATTGTTATCTTCATGTCAATGTAATATCAGAAAATATCTCATTAATTAAAGGTATTTCAATCTCAGTAACAAACATTTTCTGAATGGCTATTAATTGCTAAGCATGGTTGAAAGTACAATGGATACCACATTGAGAAAAAATAAAATCTCTCCCACTAAGCACTCACATTTTACATATTTAGTGTGTCTCTCCGGTTCTACCTTTTTATTCCCCTTTTTTTTCCTCCCCAAAGATAACATTTGAATCCAGGACAAAGCTTACATAACTTCATGACATTTGCATGACATTGGCACCTGGTGAGGTATTTCTTACCAATTGGTCCCTGGATATTGACTTCTCTCTCTCCAGGAATTTTTGCAGTGTAATATGACTCCTATGGTCACTGTATCATAGAGGACCTGGGTCTCCATTCCCCAGCTCCCTGTTATCTGTTTGATGTGTTAGTACACTTTTCGGAGTTATGTGATTCCTCCCATCAAGCTATCAACTGTAATGTCTCTTAACTCAAAGTCCCTTGTTCTGAAATAAAAACCGTTCTTGTTCATGAGCCCCCTCCCCACTTGACTATCTTGGGAACTATGAATTTCAACTGCTTTTTCTGATCTTCATTGCAGCATGGCAGACTCCTGTAAGACCGCTATAAAGTCCAAATACCTGGATATCTTCCTCAATACTGCCCACTCTGTTTCACCCATGATAAGCCGAATAATGCTTTAGATGCCTCCAAAAGCCAAGGGATTTGAACTAAACCAGGACAATGAGGTCTAAGTTCAAAAACTCCCTTCTCCTTCTCTTCCCGAATCCCTCCTCTTAGTCCTAGGAAATATTTGTCATCTTTCCTACGTGATCCAATGGAAGTTCTAAGAAAAACAATCTTCACTCTGAATAAAGATTGGATTGTTACAAATAAAAAATTCTTGACTTTAGTCTATTGTACGGCTAAGGATGTTAACAAAGACCACTTTATAATTTAATGGCAAGCACTGACTTCCTTAATTAGTACATTTTTGGATTAATGTGATGGCTGTCCTTTTTTTTTATTAAAAAAGAAAAACCTCTCTCTCATGCCCTGTGCCAAATGGTGGAAGGGTTCAGGGGTTTGAGAGAAAATAGAGTACATAGCTGTCTGAGAAGTGACATTTCAAAATAATACATTTTACTATATATAAACAATATTGGGAAAAGGAAAATTTATATGAACAAGTAAAATGTTAAAACACACAGACACAGATATATGTATCTCCTTGGACTCAGAGCTAAGCATTCTGAAAGTAATGGAGCTGCATTTCAATAAATGAAATAATATTATATATATAGTTGGCAGTAAAAATGATAGAATTAAAATTTACCTTAAAGTCCCTTGCATGTTTATTAAATAAAATGCAGATGATTTTATATACTACCGTAAATAGTAATATTTTAGTAAATGTATAATTTTTATATAATAAATTTTACATTGGCATTTGACTGCAATAATGATTTAAAAATTAATATAGTATAATAAATTTTACATTGAAAATACATTCTTATAGGGTCTGTGTCTTTACATAAAAATGTATGCATAGCTATATTTTGGAAGACCACTGTATGTATGTTGGGACTGCATTCTAGCACGTCTATATAAGAGCCATGCCTTCTACTGAATTCTCTCACATCTCCCTTTCTTTTATTTTTCCTGTTTCTTTTTTGCTTTTGCCTGAGTCAGTATATTGACGTTTACTTATTCCTAAATGTTAAGATTTTTAAAACTTTTCCTGTTTTTCTTCAGGGTATTAAATAAAACAAAACTAAAACTGCTGTCTTTTACTTACGTTGCAGCCAAAAGACTATAATTGTATACAGTCTGTGAATAATTGCCTATAATTCATTAATTTCTAGTATTTCCACTTCTTATTTAAAGAGCCAATTAAGTGATTTCCCACAGAATGTTTCTTACTTTTTCCTTTAGGTTGTATTAAAACAAAACCAAAAACTTTCATATGGCCTCAGAAACCTAACAAAAAGGATGATTCAATCATTAGGGACCAGATTATTTCTTAAACTTTGTGTATATATATATGATATAATATTTCCTTCCCTATGTTTATCCACAGCCAATGCTTAATTTATGCTTTCATGTTCCTAAGCGTTTTTATGGTAGGTAGTGTAAGTGTTGAGGATAGAGAATTGAAAACATTCAGAAAAGGAGGATAGAATCATTTTAAATAAGAATAATTCTACATAAAAAAACCTATTAAAAAAAAAACTCTTGAAGATCAGAGGAAAGCCGGCAAGGAAAGACTGGAAGATAGGGAGATAGTAATATTTAGGTGAACAGTGACTGAGAGTTTAGAGGTGAATACGAGAAGCAAGGACCAAAAATGAAACTCTAGGCAGAGAGGAAGAAGTTTAAACAGGAAGTTTAGAAATGTCACCATGAATTTAATGATGGCATATGATCGACTACCACTGTTACCTTGTTTTCTTTTTTATTATTATTTTTTGATGCTTTCAAACTTTTGCCACTTTTTGAGATAAGATTATGATTAGACTAATTCTGTACATTCTAGTCACAGAAGGAGAAAAAATGGTGGTCAAAGGAGGAAGAAATATAGGAAGTAGAATGGAAAGAGGGAGGAAGGTCACAGCAGTACCTAAAACCAAGTTATGCAATGCTTTAGTTTTAAGAACTGATCTTTATATTATCTCATATTAATAAGAAAACATACTTAAAGATCAGAAGTGGGTAAATTGTACAACTGTTGTTTTTAAAGGTCATGACTTAAGCAATTTCCCATATATTCTATTTTTCTAGATATTTTGACTCCTTTTCCCATAAAGGGTTCAAGAAAATTTTAAATACAGTTTTTAAGGTTTTTCAGTAGTGTCTTTGAATGCTTTTAACATCTGACCTACATCTTTCTGTAAAGGACTTTAAGATAATTTCCGTCATGATATTTTAAATAGCAGTTTATGATTTGAGGCAGACGTTCTCATTATCACTACAACCATTCTTTTCTGTTGTTGTTTCCTGAAAGAAAGTTATGGCATCACACTCTTTTATCTATCTTGCAATTAAATTGGGCATGAGAGTTAATGCTATTCATCTAACTTTTATATGAAAAGTATATTTTCAAGTAGTGAAGATTATCAAGGTCTTTATGACTACTTCTTTTACTTTTGGATAAAAAAAGGAAATACATTATTCATTTCAAAAATTAAATTCAGGCCAGGCACTGTGGCTCACGCTTGTAATCCCAACACTTTGGAAAGCTGAGGCAGGCGGATCATGAGATCAGGAGTTTGAAACCAGCCTGGCCACGAACGGTTTCACGAAACGGTGAAACCCCATCTCTATTAAGAATAAAAAAATTAGTTGGGCACGGTGACAGGCACCTGTAGTCCCAGGTACTGAGGAGGCTGAGGCAGGAGAAGAATCACTTGAACTAAGAGGCAGAGGCTGCCGTAAGCCAAGATCGCACCACTTCACTCCAGCTTGGGCAAGTGAGCAAGACTCCATCTCAAAAAAAAAAAAAAAAAAAAAAAAAAAATTCATTCCAGTAACTTTAAAAAATATTTTTTTGTTACAAATTAAAGAAAATAATTGACTCCCTTATTTATTTTGATTCAGAACTGGACAACAACTGGCATTTGACTGCAATAATGATTTAAAAATTAACAAGCTGATTTCTGCTCAGAAAATGCTTCTTCTAATGCATTTCTGGCTACAGTGTGGAATATCTGTCTCCTTTAGGTACACCTTGGATGATTTGGACTCTAAAAATCCAAGTTACACCCAAGATTCCATTATCCTATGGTTACTCACTTGGGCCACAGACATGAAGGACCAGTCTGCAAGAAATAGAAGAATCAAGTGGAGCTCAACCAGTGAATCATCCCCATAATGTAGGGAAACCTTAGAGAGGAGAGCCGGAAGGATATATTGGTTGTTAGGAAAATGTAGGCTACCAGTAGAAAATGACATCCTCTGTTAATAAGATCTGAGGTGCGACTCACATAATTGTCCCAATTTTTAAGATTGATGGGGAGCATGAAGCATTTATTTAAAGTGTTGACAGGCCCCAATAAATGCATAAACTGCATAGGACTCATGTGATCTGAATGTATTTTAGGGCTTTCTGGGAATTGTCTTGACAGAGAACCTGAGCTGGACAAAGCAGCCTTGATCTGAGTGAGCCAACTGGCACAATGAAGCTGTCAGGTATCTTTCTGCTCCTCTCTCTGGCTCTTTTCTGCTTTTTATCAGGTAAGTTTTTTCTTAAATTAAGATCCCATATTTATACTGAACTGGATATGATGAGTAGTTGTTTATCATATTTCAAAATCCTAATGATTTTGATGTGAAAGACCAATTCTGAGAGATTATTGTAATGATGATAATGATTGTGATGACGACAATGATTATGGTAATAATTATAAAAATTACTGTGATTTGTTGAGTATATACCATATTCTAGGCACGTACCAAGGGATTTTATATATTGTCTCCGAGACTCATAATAACGCATTTCTGTCTCTGCTATTCATATAAGAAACTGTGGAACAGAGAAATTGAGAAAATTAGCAAAAGACTTGCAACCAGTAGTTAGAATTTGGAATTTGAATCAGATTCTCTTGGCATCACATTTGATGTTTGTTCCATAAAACTAGACTGGAGGATGGATAATTGCATTAAATATTGGTTTTGCTTTCCAGAATAAAGGAGTATTTTCCTCCCCTTAGTTATTATTACAAATAAATTCAAATAATTAAAATTAAGACAATAGAGAAAATGGAAAGTCAACGAGAAAATCTTTGAAAATATGTAATTGAAACTTGGAATGTAGAAACGTATGTTTCTGGTGAGCTAAATAATCTTCAAGAAGGAGAATATCTTTGGCCACTTTAGGGCCAAAGCACAATCATACTTCAAGGTTATGTTTTTCATGACAGAAGCATCAGATGAGCAGGTACATCATAAGCTATTTCTTTCCTTCCTTATTCTTCTACTCTTTCACATTGTAGGGGACAAAGCAAATGCTAGTTTTTAGATCCAAGACCTAGTTTTATCTCTTCTATTAATGACCTGTGTCACTTAAAGAAATATCATAATTCTCTGAGATATTTTCTCATCTGTAAAATACTAGAAATAAAACTAAGCCCTCGGACCCTCCATATCTTATGTATCATTTATGTGACAGTAGCAGATGAATTTTACTACTATGCAAGATTTTAAATGGCTGTACAAGTAAAAAAAAAAATCAATGAGATTTAGTTGAGAGAGAAGCCAATGTTCACTGTAGCTGGTCATAATTACATAAACAAATACGCTTAGAAATTTAAAAAAAAATGGATAAAGGATTCCTGTGATATTATGGAGTAAGCTTGACTACTAAAGCCAAATAACCTTAATGGGTAGTTCAATCAGCTGAGATGGCAGAAAAATATAGATCTGACTATGTAAAGTTTAGTTGCAAAGATAGTCTCAGAAATCAATTGTTATTCCCTTTTCTTCTCTTTACAAAGGTGAATTGAGGTTTAACAGGATCTGGTTGACTAGCACAATTTACCAAAGCATGGATGCTTCACAGACATACTAGATAGTATTTGGGAAGCCATAGTGCCTAAGGGCCTTAATGTTGAGGCAGAGTAAAGTGAATTTTAGCCCTGGCACTTTCATTATATAGCTTTGTGAACCTTCTGATGTTTGTTTCACTCATATATAAAATAAACACATACAGGACTATCTCTGTATGGAGAATTAAATGAGAAAAAGGCATGTATAATGCTTAACATAGTAGATGGGGTATAGTGCATGTTTAACAAATGTCTATTAACATTATTGCCATCATAAAGTTTAATAAAAAGAGTACTAAATTGGATTCTGTCATTGTGAATATTAATCCTTTTTTTGCCTTGCCACTTCCTACGTATGAGACATTAGACAAATCTCTCCTCTTTTGATGAGAGATTGGTACAGTAGAGAATTGACTGAAAATTATAATAACAAATTGTCCCTGGCTATAAAAACCACTTAGAATCTAAAAATATAGACTGTCCAGGAGCTCTCTGATTTTATATAATAGAATTTTTAAGTGATTGCCCTAAGAATTTGTCATGTTAATAATCACCCATATTGCTAGTTATAAATCAATGAGGCTGGTAATCACTGCTGAAAAAATGAACAGTAACCTTCCTTCAAATTTAAAAACAACAACTTGCTTTCTCCTTATCTTTATTATTAGAGATTGTGCTTTAAGGAATTTGCAGTTGTTATCCTATAAGTGTTGACCATCATTGGAGATAGATTGTGCTAATCCACACTCTCTTTGTGGTGCCCTTGGGCTTACATGGAGAGGGATTGGGAAAGGTGTCCCATAGGAATGGCCACAGATCGAAACTCAGCACCCCATTCCAAGACTGGACTGAGGGATTTTATTATTTAAGTATTTTAAACCACTGAACTAATTAGTCATAAACTAAAATTACACATACAATATTAAGAGGAAGGAAAAGGGAGAGAAACAAGACTGTATGTATATGGGATCGTTTCCCTTTTTAAGAATTTAGAGAGACGTAAAAGGAGAAATAAGTCGCAAGAATGAATGAGTTGTTCCTTACCAGTTTACATTTGGGACAAGTTTTAAAAGTTGAGCAATTTCAAACTCAAAGAACAAACTACAAACTTCCTCTCTTTCCCAACCGTCTGTGGCAAAGGCTTTTGGGAGGAACTGCATGAAATGAACCTTGAAATGTCAAAGGTAGAGGATACTTTCCAATTTAACTTCTTCAAAGTGAGACCAGCGATGATAATGTCATTTCCATAGTAAATTAGTGCTTGGGCCAGGACTGTAACATGAATTGCCAGATCCTTAATCCACTTTTTTTCTACCCCACCCTAACCTCCAACAATTGTTACCTCCTCATGGTTCATGTCTTTATACGACTTCCTTAAGAAGTGAGCAGATTTAAAAAAAAAGAAGAAGAAGAAGAAAAGAAAAGAAAAGGAGAAAGAAAAGAAAAGAAAAGGAGAAAGAAAAGAAAAGTATAACAAACAAAAAAACATGCCGTGATAGCCAAGTACCAGGAATAGATATTAGAAATTTCCTAATGTTGAGAATCTCACTTTTTGCACATCAATGAATTACAATGTTTGACTTTTGTGCTTTTTTTTTCAGGTGTCTTCAGTCAGGGAGGACGGGTCAGTGCCTATTTTTCTCTCTTCTTTCTGCCTGGGTGGTGCTTGGCTAGATCTTCACTGGCCAAAAAGAAATTTGTCTATGGTTAACAGAGCAAAAACAATGAGCAGGCAAACCTTAGGCAGGCATCAGCAGAAATAATTACTCTTTAACTAAACTCTTGTCAGTTTAAAAGGACCTAACCACACATTCTCATACTTTTTTAGGGAAGAATAAATATACATAAAAATAGGAAGTATCTGGGATAAAATTCATGCTCTATCATTGATTTCACTATGTGATCTTGGGGAAGTTACTCAACTTCTCTGAGCTGCAAGTTCCACAATTATAGAAAAAGATAGTATTATTCACGTCATGGAATTGCAATTATATTTAAATTGTGTAAACAATGTGAAAGTATTTGGCAAGCCATAAAAGGCTATATGTGTATTAGTTATTGATTAAAAATTAACATCCTCTGAAGAAGTTAGGATATAGGTTATTATTTCTTTTTTCAGAAATAAGAACTGAAAGTAGACAAGAAACTAATTTATTGCTCTGTATTGAGGACACACAGACTGATTCACTCAGATTTTAATAAAATTTGGTTTAAAAATTGGAATGAGCACAAGTTATCTGCATCGTTGGATCTTTTTCCCCCGTATTAGTTCACCAGTGTCTTTCTATCTTTTTCATTTTAACTGTCAAAGGACAACACAAATACTATTTGTTCTGCCAATCCTGTTCCTTTGTCCATATTAAGCATTTCTACTTGGTTTTGGAACTAGTAATTGTTTAGCCTTGGTGTGCCTTGCTATGCCTTTGACGTGAAAATTTCTGGACACTACTGCTAACTGATTGAAGTTGGCAGTCATTGGAAATATTTTCCAAACCTAGTGTACCCACTGCATTATATGACTGTTTTTCTTTTCCATTTTAGCATCTCAGAAATTAGGATGCATCTTACAAGTGATGATGCATTTGTGTGTGTGTGTGCGTGTACATGCATGTGCACTTAGGTGTATGTCTAACACATGCAAATGTGTGTTGGCATTGTCACATGAAACTGTATACATTAAAGTTGTATTATTATGTTTAAATAAACATGATAGTATGGTCTATACTAAACGTGAAAACAAACACCCAAGGAAAGGACACAACATCCAACCAACACATTTCATATCTCATTAGGTAGTAAAATATAGTAAAACCATTACTCATAGAATTAAGAAATATGGAATTTAATCCTAGTTTTCTCATTAACACACACCTTACTTCCCTTCTTTGAAGCTTGATTTCTCAGGTTTTTTTTTTTCTTACAAACAGAGGTTTTATTGCATTTGGTCCACAGACATATTTCACATTATCTCACGGAGTAGGGACCCTGGGTGGGGGGTCCCTGTGCAGTACTTGGTGGGGTGTGTGGCTGGAAGAGATGGAGCAGTATAGCTGGTCAGACCAAAAATGGGAGAAGGAGGGCTGGGGGCTCCTTAAAACCTACTGAAGGGCTGGGCACGGTGCCTCATGCCTATAATCCCAGCACTTGGGGAGGCCGACGTGGGCAGATCACCTAAGGCCAGGAGTTAGAAACCAGTCTGGTAAACATGGCGAAACCCCTCTACTAAAAATACAAAAATTAGCCAGGCGTGGTGGAGCACCTGTAGTCCCAGCTACTTGGAAGGCTGAGGCAGGAGAATCCCCTGAGCCTGGGAGGTGGAGGTGCAGTGAGCCAAGATTGTGCCATGGCAGAGTGTTTTCTAAAGTTTATTTAAATTTTACTACTTACTGATTTTATGCTTGAGAAGGGCCAAAGTTTATAGTTTGCTTGCTTCATGATCACCTGGATTGCTTACTAAATATACAGATCCCCAGGCAAGACATTGAATAATAATCAGAAAGGTAGGGAGTTTGAGTCTGCATTTTAATTAACTATCCAGATGGCATTTATACATAAGAAAACTGAGCATTTTTCTCTAGGTAAGAGGAGGCAAGCTGTATTGGGAAGCATTGGCTCTGGAGTCAGATAGTACAGATGAGTGGAGTCCTCATTCATACTTACTTGCTGTATGACTTGAAAAATATTGTTTCCCTTCTCATTGCCTTTGTTTCCACATCACTAAGATGAAGGTTTGAATTTAATGATCTCTAAACCCCTTCCTGCCCTAACTCTCTGAATTGTTATCAACCAAGCCTGTCCTGCCAAAGTTGCTGTCTCTTCTCCACTCAACTATAAATGACAGGGAAGTTCCTATACTTTTAAATGGCACTGAGGCTGTTATTTCTCTTTTCCATGCCTGGAGGGAGGGTGGAAGTTTCAATGCCAGCAGAAGGCATTGAAACTATCATTAGGAGCGTGCTTGCACAAGTCTGATCCAACCAGAACAAAAGGAAGTAAGATTTCCTCCAACACTCAAGTCATTCTTCTCATGCCAAGAATTCTCTACATGATGAGACATCTGATGGGAAATTATAGTTAGCAGTCTGAATTATGGACTTTAAAAAATATCACATTCATTTGAAAAGATTATTCAAGCTAAACAAACTCATGTTACCAGACTTTTGGAAATCGTAGTCCAGTAAAATTTTCCCTGTAATGTAAATGACTAATATGCTTACAACTCTTTAATTTGCCAAGGAGCTAGATTAAACAGCACAATAATAACTATAAGAGTAAAATAAAACTATTATTTATCATCACTAGCATTTCATTAAGTAATTTCCTGTATAGCACCAAAATGTTTAAAAGACATATTTTCAGAATAAAGATAGTCCTTTGACTGAATACATTTTGCTTTTTGAATGTATTGCCTTTAATATTTAATATTACCGCATTGCCTTTAATATTTTTATATTTTCCTATCAGGCTCTGTATTTGGGAACCATATCCTTAAAGAGCTATTTAGATGAATAGTCCAAATTGGAATGAACAGAACGAGCCTTTTAAAAGCAATGATTGGCAACCGTTTTCTGTTACAATACTTTTTGAAATACTTAAATTTATTTTTGCTTGTATTTTAAGATAAGAACTGGTGAATTTTCATATCATTGGTAAAACAATGCTCCATGACTCTAATGAGTTTGCAGTTTTTTATTTTTCCTAATTAGCTTGATTTTGCTTAAAATTAATATACTGACAAAATGTCTAAATACAATTTGGGAATGGTATCTAGTACCTATAACTTAACTACAAATTGAAAAACTAAAGCCTCAGAAATGAGGTCTAGCTGACTTACGTCTACCAACAGCAGTAAAGCTGTGAAGTCAACACTTGAAGACTTCTGACTCCATATGGAGTGAGCTTTCCATGGCTGCATACTGCTTTTAATCAGCAATAGAGGGTCATTGTGTAGTGCACGTGAAAGAGCTTTGAGCAGTATAATTTCTTAAGTAAATATAAGCTGGTCATTACTATTCTCACTTAAGCAAATAATATGATAAGCACATTAGTTGTGTCCACATGCAGGAAGAATTTGAAATTAGGAGGAAAAGGAGGAAGAGACACCATGTTAAAATGTCTCACACAGTGAGTTTAGAGGCTGTCTAAAATTAAAGGAGGAAGTATTTGGGCAAAAGTAGCGATCTCTCTCACCCAGCCAAAGTTAAGAAGATAAAAACTTATTTTATTGGTTCAGACAAGAAATGTTGAGGACTGGTATAGGCAGTAAATTTGGAACTGGAAAAGAAAATGAAGTAAAGCAATGAAGAAGGTAACACAAGGGAAAATAAATGGCAGTGTTTCAATCTGAGGGAAGGTTGGAGAATCTGAAAAATGCTGCTATCATGAAAAATGGAAAAAATAAAATATAAAACTAGTTTGGAAGAAAACAGTTGTATTTTGCACGTAAATTTCTTAAGTATGAATGAAATTATTGAGTAAAAGAATACATATATATATATATATATGACAATTGAGAGTTAGAGTTTGAGATATTTATAAAAAATCAATTTTAAAAAGTCTGGAATTTTTCAGTACCATATGGGAAAGTATATGTCATTAGGAAGAGAAAACCAAGTATATTAAACTATCTAGGAAATGACCATAATTAATACTCAGGAAGAAAAAAGAAAAGACAGCAAGAGAGAGAAGAAACAGAGAACCAGAGAACTGACATATAATGAAAGTCTGGAAAGAGTTTCAAAAAGGTTGGAGTGATGAAGAGTAGCATATATCATTAGGAAATCGTGAAAGTTTTAAAACAACCAATAGGTGCATTCTGTATTTTTGAGAGCAGTTTCAAAAGAGTAGAAAGGGGAGGGAAATAAGGGTGAGAGGAAGCCAAGTTTGGTAGCAATTAGGAAAACAGATATGGTAAAGAATGGAAATAATTTAACCACATGGGTAGGGTTTATCAGTAATAGAAAGAAGAGATGCCATCCTATATCCCAAATCCACATTTGTGTGATTGCAAATTTTCATTGGTTTTATTTGTAAACCTAAAAATGCTAGACTTATGTATGAATAATCCTGAGTCTTTAGTTGACTGACTGATCATGTAAGCTCAAATTTCCAGAAGCATTCTGCACCTTCTTCAACCCCTGGGGCCCACAGAGAGTGATCGTCTCCTGCCCAGTCACCATGTTAAAATGTCTCACACAGTGGGTTTAGAGGGCTCTCTAAAATTAAAGGAGGAAGTATTTCGGTAAAAGTTGCTATTTCTCTCACTCAGCCACAGTTAAGGACATAAGAGCTTTATTTAAAACACATCACGGAAAGTATTCACTGGTAAATCTTGAACCATCAAAGCTAGAAGAGTCCCCAGATACCGTTTAATCTCATAGTGTTGACCATTTTCTGTGAGTCTCAGAGATCTTTTAGAGCTACTGTAGTTAGCATAGACCTGTAATGAGGTTACTTTCTACACTCCTAATCCAGAACTATTTCAAATATTCTATATGAACTCTTTACAACTTTTATATGACCGCATTTGATCCTTATAAAAACCTTGGGAATCTGAAAATGAAGTATGACATGTGTTCTTTGTTTGCTGTTTTTTGGTTAAGAAAATTGAGGTGCAGGCATTGAGTCCTTTGTTCAAGATAACACAGACAGTCGATGGCAGAACAGGTTCTAAAACATGATTCTCAGCTTACTTCAGAGATCATCGAAGGCCACTAAAATTTAAGAGTATGATATTTATGTGTTCTATGGAAGTTTGTTCATATTCCACTTGACTGATTTGCTTTCATTTATTAAAATGCTTTGCTCTTCCTAGTCTTCTTCCATGGGGCAGAGGAAGAAAATAGTTGGGTGTGGGTTCAGTTGTGCTAGGCCCAACTGAGATAATCTATGTGAAAGTAGCTTGAATATTATGAAGCAATTGATAAACACAAGACAGTATCATTTTAGTGAAACTAGGATAGAGATAAAGCAAGTTTCCTCTCTCCATATGTAAATGTCACTTCATTCCACACAGATATATTTGCAGGGGTTCAGCTTAACTATTGCTTATTGTCATTACTCTTGAAATAATGGCTCGAATGTTATTTACACACCAAATATGGACTTAATTGACATTGTGTTGAAAACAATCTTTAAACTCCAGACTACTTTTGAAAAACAACTGTAGTTGAAAGGATATGTTAGTGGCACAGGTGCTACCATTCCTACTATGGAGCCCATAATAATAATTATTAATCAGGCATAACATATGTTCTCAACAATAATGCAACCTTAGAATCATTTTAAACACAGCAACTTAGCAGCCATTACTAAATGTTTGTAGTAAGCACAAATGTTCAAATTCCACAGACTCTGAAACAGGGTAAGGTAATAAAAAGACATTAGATGCACCTATAATCTTAGTTACTTGGAAGGCTGAGGCGGGAAGATGTCTTGAGGCTAAGAGTTTGAGACTAGCCTGGGCAACATAGGAAGACTATCTCTGAAACATATATGTGTATATATGTGTATATATGTGTGTGTGTGTATATGTGTGTGTGTATATATATGTGTGTGTATATAGCAACACAACAAGACTCTATCTCTAAAGTATATATATATTTAGTATATAAATATGTATTTATAATATATATAAGTAGATACATTTAGTATCTATATACTTAGGTATAAAGTATATATATACTTTAGAGATATACTTTATATATATGTATCCTATATATATATTAGTTTATGTGTTTACACATAAACACATTAGAATTTTGTTTTCAAGAGCTTATGGATGAATATTGCATCCACAGGGAAAAGTAACAAGCATCAGGTGATGTCTGGTGCCCATTGTAAGGTTCATCCATGTTTTGTTTTTGTTTTTGTTTTTATTTTTTGATGGAGTCTTGGTCTGTCACCCAGGCTGGAGTGCAGTGGCGCGATCTCGGCTCACTGCAAGCTCCACCTCCCGGGTTCACCCCATTCTCCTGCCTCAGCCTCCTGAGTAGCTGGGACTATACGTGCCTGCCACCACACTCGGCTAATTTTTTTTTTTTTTTTTCATTTTTAGTAGAGATGGCGTTTCACCGTGTTAGCCAGGATGGTCTCCATCTCCTGACCTCGTGATCTGCCCGAGTCAGCCTCCCAAAGTGCTGGGATTACAAGCCTGAGCCACTGCGTCTGGCCCATCTATGTTTTGATAGCAATACAGAAGGAGTGCTGTTAGAGCACATTAATATGATGTTTAAAAAGTCATTTCATGACCCAAAACCACTCTCAGTTGGAATAGTTTAATGTTGGAGCAAGAGGTTTTACCCATATAGCATTTGACTACATCATTAATTTACTCCTGAATACAATCTGTTTTCCTTGTAAAGAGTTAACTGTGACTCAAAGAAAATGTCTCAAGTATATTTAATGTGTTTTACTTAAGCAGATAAGTAGAATACATTGGATAAGGAGAGCAATTTTGTATTTCAGAATGCTTTAATGTCATAACTATTTATATATGGCTTTTAAAGTTTGCTGTCTAAAGCTTCTGTTCTGAAGGATGATCTCTTAGAATACACTGATGTCAATGTCACTCTACTTACTTTGGTAGGTTGACTGTGGTGAGTTCCAGGACCCCAAGGTCTACTGCACTCGGGAATCTAACCCACACTGTGGCTCTGATGGTCAGACATACGGCAATAAATGTGCCTTCTGTAAGGCCATGGTGTAAGTAATATATTCATCAAAGCTGATCCTTGCAAACACAAACTTCCAGAATAAGACTATGACACTTTTTTGAGGTATTATAGAAGACACCCGTCCCTCCCCATAGAGACTGAAGAAGCAAGCTTCAGGCAATTTGATTGAAAACAGATGGGTCAAAAGCAGCAAAAACATTACATACTAAATTATTAGAAAACATAATCTTAATCACTTTACTTTATTATTAATTTTGATTATCTTAGAGAAGTTTTTTAAAACATTCATACATCTTATACATTATAACTTATTATATTTAATAATTTTGATATGTTTTAACATTTTCATTTGTTTCTAATTAAAACTTGCAATATCAATACGTAATGAACATATGTCTATACTTATATATATAACACATCTGACTGATTAATACCAAACTTTTCTCAGAATAAAGTTGGTGGTGTAACATGAGATTTGAATTAATAGATGCATATTACTGAGAGGGCTTGAATGTGTCACTTGCTCTAAAATGTCAAACACCTGAATATCTGGTTCAACTTCTTACGTCTTCTGTCAGAAAGAACTATAGTCCCTTTGTCATTATCTCTCCTGTGACCTCTACCTTTTTAAATTGTATACATATTTACTCTTGGAGAATGAGCAATTGGTACCAAAAAGTCTAAGACTTATGAAAACTCTGAGATTTGTTTAAGATTCATGCTTTCCACAGTTGGCCAGACGTCACCTCTGAGTGCATTTAATTAACATCTTCTGAATCATATAAATGGAATTTATAGAATCAAATAATTAAATGGACAGTGCCATTGTTAAACCTGTTTCGAACTTCTGTGGTGAATACTTACGATAGTGCACTGAATATATATTTGTCTTTCTTTTTTTGTAGGAAAAGTGGTGGGAAGATTAGCCTAAAGCATCCTGGAAAATGCTGAGTAAAAGCCAGTGTTTCTTGGTGACTTGCCAGCTCTTGCGGCCTTCTTTTCTCACTTCTGCTTATACTTTTGCTAGTGGATTCTTTTAATTCATAAAGACATACCCACTCTACCTGGGTCTTGAGGAGTTGAACGTATGTCTATTTCTCTTGATTCACTTGTCAATAAAGTACATTCTGCAAAAGCATTGACTGTGTTCTTACTTTGAGATCAAGAAAATATATGCATACAAGAGAGAATAATTGACCTAGGATAAACTTGGATCAAGAAACCTATTTTCTTTATCTAAGTTAACCATCCAGTCATTGTGAGATCTTGGGGAAATCCCTTCCTTTCTTTTATTCTTAGAATCTCCAGGTTTATAATGAAGGATTTTGGCAACATGACCATATGTTATGCTTAGTTACTTAAAATAAATTTTAAGTTACTATCATTTATTAGATCACATAATATTCATTATTCCCAATTTCAGAAAAAGTATGTTATATAAAAGTAAAATATTTGTTTTCTACAGACCATTTTTTTTAGGCATCTGGAGTGGAAAATTTGTACTGTATAATTTCTAAAGACATACAGTATTTGGTTTTCTGTAATAGCAATATCATAAGGTATACCATTTATAACGTAACAAAATATACAACAAATAGTGAATATTCAATCCAGTCACTTAGCAAATAAAACAGCTCCAGTTAAAAGAAGACTGAAGGTTAAAGCACAGCTCTGTTGATAATAAGCTCAATCTCCATGTACTGCCTCAACACTACGAAAATCCACAGTTTGATACATATATATCTTATTCTGAACATTCACATGAAAGTATTGAGAACTCTTTCTTTGAGTATTTTCATGCAGTAAAGCGTGCTTCTATAAATAACACCTTACTTGGGAAACTCAGACAGAATACATCTCTAGCTACAACGTAATAACCATCACTCTAGCAACAAACATTTACTGGGGCCTACTCTGTGGTAGATTCTGTTCTAGGTGCCTTGGATACAGTGTGGATGGGAGTGAGAGGGGCCAATGACCCTTCAATACTTAATGAAGTTTAAATTCCAACAGTAAGAAATAGACTAAAACAATAAATATTATAATAAATGGCATAATAAGATAGAATGTTATAAAGGCTATTAGAAAAAAATAATATGTTAATATGGATGAAAAATACTTAGGGAAAAGTGGTAACCATTTGCAGTACTAAATCAGTTGGTTCCCGTAGTTTTTATTGGAAGACCTAGAGATGAAGAGACTGGCCAAATAAATATATTGAAGAAGAGCAAAAGGAGACACTAAAAAATAGCCATTAAGGTTGTGGAGCATGCTTGTTTTGTTCAAGATTTAGAAAGAAGGCATTGGTGACTGAAGAGGACTGACTAAATGGGCAAATAATAGAAGATGTCAAAGAGGAATGAGCCTAATTCAGGAGAGACTTTGTAGTTACTGTTAATATTTTTTCTTTTACCTTGATGCATAAAATGTGTTTCTAACAACGCATATTAAGATTATATTTCTGATTTTAAAATATCAAATATATTTTATCCACATAGATGTTATCCCTAATTGTACATAATTAAAGAAGACTGAACTGGCCAGACTGAGAGATGTATTCAATATCTAGATAAAGAGCCAGGGAATAGGTTATATTATGCTAGAAAAACTATATGAGCATTCTGTTCCCTGGTTAAAGATTATTCCTCTTGAAGGACAAAAATGAATACATAATCTGTTATTTGGGTACAGCAGTGATAAGAGAGGGTATCCTCAAGTCACACAGACCAGAATGTGAATCATGGCTCTGACGTAAGTTATGTGCCTTTGAGCAAGTCATTTAGACTTCTTTGTATCATAGTTTCTTCATCTGAAAAATAAAGATAATAATATCTACATTCTTGTTTTATGATGAAGACTAAAGATATGATGCATGTAAAGCCCTTAATCACTAATATGTAACACTACAGCTTACCCTTCAGATTTGGTGAGCATACTAAAAGAATCCAAGTAATAAAGCACAGTTATGTGTCTGCTTGGAATCATTCTACATCACTTTGGTTAGTATTGTCAGCTTAGCAATAAATTTTCCAGTCCATGAGTAGAAGTTGTCTTGTGATGTATTTATGTCTTCTCTAGTTTCTATCACAGTGATTTGTAGTTTTCTTTCATAATTGACATTTTGTTGCATGTGTTGAAGGTCAATACAAAGACATTTCAATTTGTACACAATTCTTAAGATACAAACTTAAAATCTAAACAGCCATGCATTGTGATTTTTTTTAAAAAGGTATTCCAGTGGCTTTCTAACTTAAAATTTGAAGGCAAATTTTCCTTAAGAGGCTATAAAGTCCCAGTATGTTCACATGTTAATAAGTTATCACATATGCCCCACCAATTCACAATCTAATGCACATACTATGTACTCAAAACTTTAATCTTTCACAGCACATTGACAAAGTTGTGAGGAAAACAGGACTACCATGACCAAAAAGATGTTACAGAGTGAACACAATTCTGACAGGGAGAACCATAATCAAGAGTGATTTTCTTCAGGAAACAAACAATTCTACAAAAAACAACATGGGAATAGATGTAATTTAAAATATTGAAGACATTAAATGCAGGACTGTGACTCCATATTACCATTTAGTGTATGCGTTGTATTAGAGGATATAAAAATTAACCCCCCATTTATGGAATGTTAAACTGACGTCTAAGATAGTCAAAGCCTCCCATAATTCAATATCCCACACTAGTTTCTGGTTGTACCCAAAAATAACTACCAGTGAATCATTTCACCTCTTAAATAAAAAGCACTTACACTTATATAATGGGAAGGTGGGATTCCCTCCTTCTTAAATATGTTTCTAGAGCTATTAAAAAACTTGCATTTACAAAATAATTGATTAAAATATTCCTTTGGATTGTACATGTAGAGAGACAAGGACCACTGATAAAACACGGTATATAGTTTTAATCAGACCTGGTTTCTTTCTCTCTGGCTTCATTAGAAGCTGGACTCTTCTCGGTTTTAGTTTCTCCATTTAAAGCAGGTAAATAGTTTCTGGTTATCAGCTTTGGCCTGTTTTCTCTTTGCTCCCACTTTCTCCTTTTTGTTTTTCACTTTTTTTGGTCTGAAGATTTATCCTTTCCTGATGCCTTTTTCGGCTTTGTTTCCACTTTTGCAGGAGCAGGTTCACCTGACAACTAGGCAGATCTTGGGCTCTTCCCTCACAGCCTCTACATTAGGCTGAGTTGGCCTTCTTTTGGGCACGTTTGCCATTGGCAGGACAGGTGCTGGGTGCCTGCAGGTCCCAGTGCACCAAAAGTCTTGGTGAGGTTGAACTACCTGGCCACTCCCGCTCCTCCGGCAGACAAAGGAACTGAGAACCACGGGGACAGTGGAAGAGGATGGAACTTGTAGTTTTCAATATACAAGGCTTTCACATCTTTATTAAAGTTATTTCTAAGTATTTTAATCTTTTTGATGCTATTGTAAGTGAACTTTTCTTATTTCATTTTTTGGGATTGTTGTTAATGTGGAGAAACACAGGTGGTTTTTGTGTGTTGATTTTGTACCTTGCAACTTCAATATTTTTATTAGCTTTAAAAGTTCTTTTACAGCATCTTTAGGGTACTGCCTATAAGATCATGTCATCTGCAAACAGAAATAATTTAATCTTTTGCTTTCAAATTTGGATGTATTTTACTGCTTTTTCTTACCTAGTTTATTTGGCTAGAACTTCCAATTCCGTATTGAATAGAAGTAGAAAAAATAGACATCCGTATCTTGTTCCTCTCATAAGGAAAAAGCTTTCATTCTTTATCCACTGAGTTTGATGTTAGCTCTGAGTTTGTTATATATGGCCTTTAGTAAGTTGAGAAAGCTTCCTTGTATCCCTAGTTTATTGAGTGTTTTTATCATAAAGTCATGTTGAATTTTGTCAAATATGCATCAATTGAGATGATCATGAGCTTTTTTTCTCCCTTTTTTCCTACTAATTTAGTGTATTTCATTGGCTGAACTTTCTATGGTGAACCATTCTTGCAGCAAAGAATAAATCCCACTTGATCATGGTATGTGATTCCTTTAATATGCTGCTGAATATGGTTTGCTAGTATTTTGTTGAGCAATTTTTGCATTAATATTCACACATGTTATTGATCTGTGGTTTCCTTTTTTGTGTACTCTCTTTACCTGTCTTTAATATCAGGGTAATACAGAGCTCATAGAGTGAGTTAGACAGTGTTCTTTTTTAATGTTTGGGAAAAAATGGTGTTAATTCTTCTTTAAATGTTTGGCAAAATTCACTAGTTAAGTCATCTGATCAAGAATTTTTCTTCAATAGGTGGTTTTGATTACTGATTAAATCTTGTAGTTATAGGTTTAGTCAGATTTTCTATTTATTCATCATTAAATTTTGGTAGATTCTGTGTTTCCAGAAACTTATTCATTTTATTTAGTTAATCTAATTTGTTGGCATACAATTGTTCATAGTCTCTTAATTTTCAAAAATTTCCGTAAGATTCATATTAATATATAACTTTTATTTCTGATCTTAGTAATTCGAGAGCTCTCCTTTTCTCTTAGTCAATATATCTAAAGCTTTATCATTTTGAAAAGCCATGTTTTGGTTTTGTTGATTTTTTCTGTTGTTTTTGTAGTCTCTATTTCATGCATCTTTGCTTTCATCATTATTTTTTTTCCTTTCTTCAGTTAGCTTTGAATTTAGATTGCCCTTCTTTGTCTAGTCATTTAAGTTACACAGCTTGGTAGCTGATTTGAGTTCGTTCTTCTTTTTTTTTTAATGCACCAACATAGATATTTCATAACTACCAATCTTGCTATGAATGTTTGGCTAGTAACACACATTTTATAAATAGTTTAATTTTTCCCAAAGAACTAATAATTGTTACCTTTTATTTTTTCTTTATCTCTTTAGGGTAGGGATATCTCGAGAGTAGGAGTATTCTTAGTCTTTTATTTATTGTATTCCCAATCTATAAGGCAATGAGTGACACATACTTAGTGCTAATAAATGGGATGTGGGATCAAGAACTTAAATTAAAACCAAATTTACATTAGAATGTTATTGGAGATTTGTTATATTTAATGGTTAACAACTTTGGCCTGTATAGTAAAGTTTTTTAAAAAATCAAATGTCTAGAGTCCAGTCTGGTGTAAAGCACCTGGTG